TAATTTATGTTTGTATTATATTTCTTATATTTTAATAACTTAAATAAATAACTTTTAATAACTTAAATTTTATTTTTTATATGTTTAAATTATAAAATTTGTAAATTTTATTGTTATTAATATAATTGTAATTAACAAAATATAAATACTTATTATCTATTCTTATTATTTATCTATTCTAATTTTACTGTTTTATATTTTTCTTCTTATCATAACAAATTGTTCTTTTGTTTATATGATATTTTTTTCTAAAAATTTATATAATTTATATATAATATTAATATAATATAATATTAATATAATATAATATTAATATAATATAATATTAATATATAACGTATTTTTTTTTAATTTTTCCGAAAATAAAAATAATTTTATAATTGAAAAAAGAAATTCTATAATTGCAATTAAATAGTATGCAAGTACTTATAAATGTTTTTATGCGCCAAAATTCTTGATATTTTTTAGAATTAAAATAAAAATAAACTTAAACTTTAGCTTAACTCATCATTTAACTCAAATTATGTAAATCTATGAGAAAAAATAATTTAAAATTAATTCAAATCTAATTCAAATCTAATTCAAATTTAATTTAAAGTATTACAGTATTAATAATATTAATAAAATATTAGCTTGTATTTTATATGTAAATTTAAATTATTAAAGAAATTAATAGATTATTCATTTATTCATAGAAGCAATGATTCAAATAAATTCCTTATTTTTTAATAAATTAAAATATTCTGAATTTATTTTTTCTTCATTTTTATTTTCTTTTTCTTTCTTTTCTTTTGGCTTAATAAAATCGGAGGTGACACAATTTCAGAGTAATTTAAATATATTTTAGTCAGAGTTCTTGGCGTTATCAGACTGAATGAAAGTTCTGCTCATTTCTTAATTTTAACGAAAACAGGTTTATATAAGTGAAAAGCAATTAATCATCACGCAATTTCTCTGTTTAATCATATCGTATCTTTGCAAGCTTTTTTTTTTGCAAAAGCTTTTCAACTTCATAAGAATGAAAAACTTCATGGTAATTTTCAAACCGTTAAATATTATAAAACTTTGAACTTCTGGTATCTAAAATTAGTACATTTGAATTATATAATATATATTATTTACTTAATTTTTTTAATTATGTAATGTCATTAAAAGAAAGAATTCATGTTAATGTTTAAAATTATAAAAATTCAACATATTTTTTTTCAAAAAATAAATAAATATATTAAAAATATTATTGAAAAAATAAAATTTTTATTGAATATTATTATTATTAAATAAAAATATCAATGTATAAAGTAGCTATTTATTAATCCATTACAATATAATATAATTATTTTGTCAAATTAATACATTACAATAAAGAAAATGAATTTGTGAGAAACTTATAAACTATAAACATCAAAATCATTATACTTTATTAGAGTGTGATTAAAAAAATGCCTGTCACATATACTTATGTCAATACTTATGTCATACTTTTCCTGTCTAAATTGATTAATTGATATCGATAAATTTGACAAATATATCTCAATTATTAGAAAGCTATCCGTTTCTTGGCATACTCTTCTATATTACATTTATTATCAACAATCACATTAATGGAAAATTTTAAAAGTTCTATTTAATATTATTTATGTATATATATAATTTTATGTATATAATAATTTTATGTATATTCTTCAAATTTTCACATTTAATTTTCTAAAAAAAAAAAAATTTTGATAGAAAACATTTTTCTTTTTTTTAATTCATATTTTTGTATTTTAAATTTTTATTTCCTAAATATTTTATGTTTTATAAAATATAAATTTTTTAAATTTCTCATTTCTCAAAATTTTGAATTCATGTTAATATTGACAATTATTTTAAAAATAAAGATTTCCTATGCTTAAAAGCTAAGCTTGATTAAGACTCTGTAATTAATATAAGTAAAATAAAAACTTAAAATTAAGTTTGGATATTAAAATAATTATCTTATTCATATAATTATTATTTAAATAAATTTTTTATTTTTTTATTTTTTATTTTTCATTTATTTATTATTATTTTTATTTTTAGAATTAACTATTTATTTTATTTTAAATAATTTTATTTAAATAATAATATATTTAAAATTATTTTAATAAATTATTTAATTATCATTTTATTTGATACTTAATTTAATATTAAATATTTATTGTTTAATTTTGTTGCAAAATAAAGATGTTTTTCTTTTATAATGCGGAATTGTCCTTTATTTAGATCTATATTTTTTTTCATATTATTTCTTGATCTAAGCTAAAATCTATATTTCTTATATATTTTATTTGTTATCTTTTCAATTTTTATTATTTGTTAATATTTTAATTAATCAAATTGATAATTCATAAACAAAATTTTTAAAAATAATTATTATTTTTTAAATTTTAGAATTTTTGATTTACATTTTTACATTTACATTTTTATATAAAAATAAATTTATCTCCTATTATATTTTTCTACAAATTATTTGCTTCTTTTATTTAAAAGAATGCTCAATCCTGATTTAAACAAGAATAGAATTTTCATAAAAATTCAATTGAATTTCATTCAAATTATAATTCATTATAATTTCTTCAAAAATCCAATCTATTCTAGTTTCTTTATTTTATTCTAATTTCTTATTGTTATTTTTTTTTTTTTGCAAATTTCAAAAAAATTGATTTCTTATTTGAAGTAATTACTTTTTTCATAATTACTTTATTTCAAATAAAAAATGTTCAGTTTTACTTACTTAAGTGTTAATATATTTAAATATTTATTTTTTGCATTCAAAATAATTTTATAAATCATGATTCTTTAAAAAAATTTATATAATCCTATTCTTTTATCATTTATACCTTTTTTCCTATCTTCCCTACTTTTCTATCATTTATTTCTTTCATTATCACTATTTTATTGAAATCTCTCACCTATAGACTCAATCTCTCATCTCATCACACAAAATGAACAACTCATTTAGCCTTAGTTGTACGCAACCCGATAGAGGCAATAAATAATTCTCTCCTTACTAGTTTTCTTCGTTTCTCGTACACTTTTGAAATGGGGGAATTAATTAAAAAGATACGGGAAAGGATTATTCGTATTCATACGTGGCAGATTAATTGAATTTTCGCTCGGTATCTGCAAATGTTCAGGGGCGTGCAGAGTTGAAGAGAACATCTAAGGATAGAACGAGAATTGATTATTAATTGTGATAAAAGTATTCTCTTAAACTAACCACCACACCTCCTGTCGACAGCTCACAGACACGAGAAGAAATACGTTTTCTCATCTCGCTTTCCGTTTCAACCCTGCAATTTCGCGCAGGTTCGCAGAGGATCAATTTCGCTATCCTATCGATCCATAATTACATGGCTATAACGACCTAGCACCTTGAAAAATAAACTCACGAATGAGCGATCAAGATGAAATGAAGGAAGAAAAAAAGGTTGGCTAATTTTTGCATATTCGTGGAAAAATTTCGCAATAATTCCCGCAACGAGCTATTTTCGGCATTGTTTATTTTCCGATATACAATTTCTTGAGAATAACAGAGCATCGCGGCCATTAGTGATCGTTATTTTGCTCTCGTCAGAATGTTGCACATTTGAAAATGGTTTCTAAGATTTCTTTTTCATATAACAATATAAATATTGTTTAATATTTGAATTATGGATATCAATCGTATATAAATTCGACAAGATTTTTTCATACGATCTTCCTATCGTTTAAAAAGTTCAATTTTTTTAATAATTTGATATTTTTCGTTCAAGTATGAACGAAATTCGTAATGTCATGTAAAAGAAATTTAAATATATGTATATAGTATACTTGCTAATTTTAAATATACATATGCTCATTAATTTATTAATGATTAACATTGTGAATTTTTGTGAATTTTTTTTTGTTTAATATTGCTGTTATAAAATTCTAAATATTTGTTTAATATTTTTTTTATAATGATATATTTTTTTGACTTAATTATAAATCGTAGAATTTTATAAAATTTAAAAAAATAAAAATCAACATTTTTCACTTTATGATAAATTATATTAAAAAATAAAATTATATTAAAAAACTTGCAATAAGTAAGCTATTTATTATTTTAATATATTTTTTATTTTATTAATATTATAATATTATTTTTTATTATTTTTATTTATTCTTTTTTTCAATAATTTTGCATGTTATTATATGTTATTATATGTTATTATATGTTTAATGCTTAAAAGTAAAGTTAATTAATAATATTGTATTATATTCATAATGTTTATTTATTTATATTCTATTATTAAGTATCTAGTGACTTATGAAAAATAATATATGTGAAATTCGAATAAAACAATATTACATAGTTCTGGATTTGATTGAATTGGAAAATATCTCATAACATCATTTTTAATAAATATTTAGTATTTTTTCATAAATACCATGAATTTTACAATCTTTAATTATTAAAATAGAATAAATGTTTCATATAGTTATTTTAAATTTCATAATAATTAATTATTACTACCTCTCTTTGAATTATTTAATTTTTATTAATCATTAATTATACTAGGGTGCTATAAAT